CATACTATCAACCAACTGTGGTGAAAGGTTGTTCAGCCAAACACAGGTCCATATTTTTTTACGGATTCAGCACAAACGCGTTCACAACCAGGTTCTGCATGGGATCGTATTCGCAGGATTGGCATGTGCAGTCCTTGATCTCATAGTACGGATGGTAAAACTCGGTATCGTTGTTACATTTCATCTTGACGTAGTTCTGCTCAAGCTGTTTGGGTTTGCAGCAACCGCAGTTGAAACTGATGTGGGCGTCTGGCAAAATAGTGATGCGGCTGTTGGATGGACAGGCCCCCTCGCAGTCCGTGTAAGGGATGCGTCCCTCGGACAAGCAATCGTCGATAACGACATAATTCGGGTGCTTTCTGTGGAAGCAATCTTCTCCGTCGGGAACTGTGTGGATTAAAAGAAAGAAACAGTGGCTCAGTGCAGGCGGCCGTTTCCTTTTACTCCTTAATTTTGAAAGGTTTGTGGGATATTATTTGTGGAAATAGTGTCAGAATTGTAGTGATTGGAAAACGACGCAAACAACACAAGGGGAAAACATGTATCACCACTCAAACACATGTGCTTGTCATTGTTGCAGTCAATATTTTTGTTATTCAGCTGAGCTTACCACAAGCAGGACAGCACTTGTCTGGGCTCACTTCTACTAGTTTCCCCTGATAAAAACACAAGGAGAACACACATTTATAACAGTTGTAGATTAACCCTTAAAGAGCCGGGGTTAGAATGCCCCCCCAACATTTACTCCATATCGCCGTAGTGCATAATTTTGAGGAGCTGAGCCGTTAGGAGTTTTAGAGTAACTTCTGTGCAGTCATTTTGTGAAAAAGTTTGTGAAAATTGAATATACCATTCCTGTCCAGTTGCCAGTTTTTCCCAGACAGGTCAGCCGAAAACTTTGTCCACTGTCATGCTAATTGCACACAGGCTGGTACGCATAGAGCCTCGAACTTCAAATGACCGTAACAACAAAATCATATGTTGATCGACTTCAAGCGTCACATTTTTAATAAAGAGTGGTTACATGCACGCTAAGTTCCACTATATCGACTGGACAAAGCCGAATTCTTAGGGAGAAGGAATCGGCCCCCTGTGAGATCGGCTAAATAGTCAAGCTTTTTGAGGGTTAAGTTGTCTTGATTAGTCCCGCTCGGTTTCTTGCGTGCTGTTTTTTTTTAATAATGTGCCAGTTACTCTGGCAAAAGTTACTCTGCCAATTGATTGCGGACTGAGCATGCACACAATCCACAGCAACAAAATATGCTTTTTCTTTGTTGTGACTACATAATAGAGTGTGATACTCTCATTTTTTGACAAAGGTATGTTCTTGATATCCTGTGTGATTTCGCATTCCCACGTGCCGTTTTGTTTACTTACATTAGGACACGTCCGGTTACACTGGGTCTCCTGAGTTATAATAATTCCATCCTCCCCACAAATGAGTATAGTGCATGGTCGAGAAATCGGTATCAGATCTCCTAGCTGTCAGACAGATACAAATAGAAAAACCAAGCACATTTAGTTTTATTCTGTGTACGGAATTTAAACAGGATTTTTTTTAGATACGTAAACGTTTACCTCAAACATTTTTTCAGGCCAGAAATATCCAAGAACCGGAACTGTTTCCTACTATCACAGTCATTGATTATCTGTAAAGTTGTCTATGGTTCCAACGTAGCAGTCTTCCACCTGATAAGTTAAACGTCGTTTTATCATGCATAAATATTTGAAATGCTTTTGCCCGTTCGAGGGTGAATTCTTTTGTTTGGGCCTACACAACATAATTTCGTAAGGGTTTAATTACTTGCATTTTATGCCGTTGCGATTCCCTTCTGTTCAATACATGTATAGCCAAGGTACAACGTTGCGGGGTTAATATTAAACATAAGTGACTTATTTTGCTCCACATCTAATCAGGATATTTGATCCGTATACAAAACAAATTAGATTTAATTACCTGGTATTCTTCACCATTGAATTCGCAGACAGGCAGTACTGTAAAAAAGACCAGACAAAGGAATAACAATAAAATTACTACATTTTGGAGTGATTTTATCCTTAAAAGGTACTGAATTAGGATCAGGTTTTATGTATGGGAAATTTTATACTGAGGAAAAATTAACACAAAAGAAGAAAGAGCAAAATGAAAGTACCTGTACGCCTTGTTGTTGTTATAACAGTCACTTCGCCCTCTGTGGTACTTTCCTTAATTGTCACCGTTGTTTCTTGTGGCGTGGTAACTTTCTCAGTTGTAGTTGATTTCACGGTGGTGGGTGCTACATTAAATGGTGTTATATTTCGTAAATAAAGAATAATTATAACAGCTTTCTAAGGAGTAAAAATTATTGCGGAGGTCGCAGGCTCAAATCCCCCTTGAGTAAATTTCCTTGTTCACCTTTATAATTTCAGAAACTAGTCAGTTCCCTATACAAGGTGTCTTTAAAAACACCGAGATAAACTAATCTTTTTCTCGAATGTTACCGACTCTTTTGGTAAATGGTCTATATAATTAGTTTTAGTATGATATCCTCTTTCGTATGACATTTAGGAATCCACATTTCTGTCACACATGACTGAGCAATAAGCGGTTTAATGGACCGTGTCAGAAATGGTTTTCCACCAGATGCATCACAGGTTTGCACACCGTGAAGTAAGAAAAAAAACCAAAAAGAAGCAATTACACTATCGCAAAGACAGCCCAGTTAGGGGCTTATTCTTGACGAAGTATAACTCCAGTGTCCTTCAACATTTCCCTCTCCCCATTCCATTCATTAAAAAATTCTGCTCCTATTCTAATCACTTTTAAATGGGTATCGTGCATTTTAGAGATTCCAGCAAACATTACGTATGAATTCAGACAGACAGTATGAATTCAACATCAAAACAGCTGGTGCAAAGCAATTTCTGACTTGGTGCATTAAACCACTTCCTACTCAGTCATCTGTGACGGAAATTTGGTCATAATGAAAACAGATGATGGTTACCATTTACAAAAATAGTTAGTCACATTCAAGAAACAATCAAATTTTTCTCGGTTTCCTTTTTAAAGGCACCCTGTATAGTTTGTTTGACGATTTGAAAAATAAATAAGATTTTACATTTAACGTGAAACCCGGTCAAGATCACCATTTCCGTACAAAAAAAGCTGCCTGTCTGTTCATCATTGTTCTACTCTAATACGTTTAAAGCATCAGAATTCGCTTGGCCTCGTCAAGCCTTCTTTTTTAATAGTCATCACGTTGGAAACAGGTTTTAGAGTTATTAAACTCCCATTTTTTTAAAACTCACCTTCTGTGACCACCGTGGTTGTCTCTCTTACAGTAGTTGACGGCGCCCTGGTGGTTACTAATGCTATGAACGTTGAGAAAAAAAGACAGAGATAACGAAAAGTGCCTTAAATTGCTAAAGGGAGTCTGATAAGAGAGGATCTTTGGGACCAGGGGAAAATATGGCCTCCGTCTTTATTTGGCATCTATGTTTTGAGCATACTGAAATCTGACGTTTAAAACAAGGGTAAAAGAGTATAAGCCTGCCTGTTGTAGATGGTGCCTCTGTGGTTGAGATTGCCGTTGTTTTCTCCTCCGTTGTTGTAACCTCCGGGGATGTAGTAACAAGCGTTGTCGTCGTCACTTCTTCGGTAGTGCGCGGGGCCTCAGTGGTTGATGGCACCGTAGTTCTTCGTTGAGTTGTTTCTATGGCTGTAGTGCCTTCTTCCGTGGTGGGAACCACTGCCCAAATAAGAGCAAGCCAACTTGAGTTAAAAGGTTTCGGTGTGTCGTTGCATAAATTTTATTTGACTATAAAATAAGAATATCTTTTACGTGTGGTCGTTTGCGTTGTGGTTGTTTCAGTTGTTGTCCCCTCCGGGGTAGTGCGAACAGCTGTTGTAACTTCTTTGGTTGTTGAAGCCAGGGCAGTTGTTGAGGGCTGAGCAGTGGTCGAAGGCTTCAAAGTGGTTGAAGGGGTCTCCGTTGTAGATATGCGTGTGGTGGTCACTTCAGTGGTTGACGGGATTCCTGGAATGAATGAGAAATGGAAACGCCAAGATAACCTGGCTTTACTTGCCTGGCGTTTGTTTGAAACGTTTTCTCTTCTTGCTCCCAGAAAATATTGCCCTTCGGTTCTTCAATGAGACGCTAAAGCTTCTGAAATCAAGCCTATTTCATTACCATTTTTTTAAAGCATTACATAGATTGAAATGCAAGAAGCACGAGGAATCGTCAGTGTGGATTAAGTTGATAATATTTAAATTGGGGTGTTGATTTTAAATCTTCATGATTCGACGTGTAGATGAGTAGGTCTATGGTATGACATTTGGCGTACCAGTGGTAGATTCCTCAGTTGTAAATTCCGTAGTGGTGACTTCCTCAGTTGTTAAGAGAGGTGTGGTGGTAACAACCTTGGTGGTAACTTTCTCGGTAGTTGTAGGAGCCAGAGTGGTTGAAGGAACTGTGGTGGTAATTTGAGTGGTTGTTTGTGTAGTACTTTCCCCCGTTGTAGAAAACACTGCAGTTGACCAGGAACAAACACGCAAAGTTATTTCCACCAGAGTACTATTTTAACCTATGAACGTATTCTCTCTTTTGACGTGGTGTTCCAGATTTATGAATATCGGAAAATGACGGTGTTTAAGCAGAGCAGTAAGTATACACAGAAAACATGTATGGATGTACTATTGAATAACTGATTATAATTTCGGCATAAATGGACCAGTAAGCCAGGGCAGAATTCACCTAAGCTTCTGCCCCATCAAAACAATATGTATCTTTTTATCCAGCCTTATTTACCCGTGGCAATGCCTTACTATCGTTTTTGCAACAACTTTTTCAGTGACAATAAACAGGGAAAGTGGTGACTGTGATACGGACAGTAATGTGAAATGGTTATGAATATAAAATACTCAATTCAATTGGTCCGAAACGTGCAAGTTGGTTGAATGGACGCCTGCTATCATTATGTTAACTGTCGACGAAGTCTCTCACTTGAAGGCCCATACGTCAAAATGGAATGATCATCTATTGTTCTCGTCAAAACAGCAGCTTTCCTAATACAGTCATCATTTCCAGTTATTCGAAGAGTAACCGACGAAATTATTGTTGAAAACATACTTCGTTTAAAGACGGTTCTGGGACTTAACTTCCGTGAGACTTTTCTTTCTGGCAAGTTGTCTTTTCGAAGAAAAGAATGAAAGAAGGCCAATCTAACGATGTGTCTAAAGATATATAAAAACGGAGAAAATTTAACGAAGTCCTGGGCGCAGACATTTTGAATCTTTGCGCGTGCTTCTAGAACATTCAAAATCAGACAGAATGGATATCGAATTATGTTTTCTCAGTGCAACACTCAAGTTAAACATAATTTTGCGAATGTCAGCGCGTCTTTTGAATAAGACGCACGCGTACAGAGCAGTGGCATATGTTTATCTATAGTTGATAATTTTAAAACGAGTGTTTGGCAATTATTCGAGTCTCCCGATTTCGTGTGCATGTATTTCGATGGCTGTCTTTCGATGAATAAGTTCAGGTAAATGAAAAAGGCGTTCCTTATTCAGTCAGTATTAAGCGAGTTGACGGCTCTGGAGCAGCAGATGTCGTACACTAGGTACCGATAAAATCCGATTAAAAACGTCACGGCAAAATTCATGTGCAACGCATACGCGCACGCGTTTGTGTTTTTGGCGCATGGAAAAATAAACGCTCATTTACAGATTGTGCGTTCAGGTTGTTTCCATATCGGCTTTGCTGACGCATAGTAAGGACGCAGATATGCAAATAGCCGTTCAAAGGCAGTACAAAATTTCGAGTTTTTCACAGGGTTAGACGCAGCCAGCGGGCATCGCTTGGTACATGAGTCAGCTCTCTAGTTTATATAGCTCTCGGCATTTCTTTAAGAATCGAATTAGAAGTGCCAACAAGCATTTACCCTGCACACACGAGCAATAGTATTAAAAGTAATATTGATCGTAGGTTCAGTGCGTGACATCGCTTGGCTGCATTCCACTAAAACTAAGAAGGTGTTCCGAACACAGAATCCAGGAACAATTCAGAACAAGACTCAGCAAGGTTTAATCTGAAATCGAAATTCTACCATATTATTTTCTCGGAATGTAGAGTATTCCCTTGGCTGAAACTTTCTAATTTTTTTTCTCAGGCACCCCTCTTCAGATTTTAGGAAATGTTGATGCCTCAAAATTAACAAACTGCCAAAATTACAAAGGATGGACTGTACCTTAACATTGCTTATGACTTGAATCCAGCTTCGATTAAAATATAAACAACAAATGCTAGGCACATCACCTAAGAACAGAGCTTAAAGTTCAACACCGTCCAGTACGAAAAAGAAATTACCTGTAGTCGATTTGACCGTTGTGGTCTGTTTCGTTGTTGCCTCAGGAGTTGTGCTCACAACTGTTGTGGTGACTTCTTCTGTGGTTGATGGAGGAGCTGTGGTCGACGGGGCCTCAGTGGTTGATACGTGAACAGTGGTTGTCTCAGTGGTTGAGGGGGGCCCTGGAAGAAACCCGAAAATAATTCAATTCATCACATGCAAGTGACGGATGCACTAGAATATTAACTATGTCATTACAATCTAAGAAAGCAAAATGACCAGTTGCATAAAATGCAGATTTTTCCCGAAATTGACGTGTCATCTGTTCTCCTCGAATGATGCATGGATATAAAAAGAGCAATCTCGAAAACTCACTTCCGGTCTGCAATCAATTCGTTATTTTACATACCAGTAGTAGATTCCTCGGTGGTCGATATCGTAGTGGTCGCTTCCTCAGTGGTTGACACAGGGGAAGTGGTAGAAACAACTGTTGTAGTAACTTTCTCGGTAGTTGTTGGGGCTAGAGTGGTTGACAGGACTGTTGTAAACACTTGAGTAGTGGTTTGCGTAGTTGTTTCCTCGGTCGTGGAGGCAGCTTCAGATTCAACCAGCGGAAATGAACAACTTCTTTACATTCAATTGTTAAGAGTCCAGTGTAGTTTCTGTATTAATTTTCGTCAAATACATTTTGGTTCCAAACGTCAAAGATTCGAGAAAGAATACTTTAAGGAAATTTCCTATCTGACGTGTTTACACGGCTTTGTATTCCAAATTGTACTCAATCTATTAGTTACATCATGCCAGTTTAAATAAATTAAGGATGTCAAAATCCCCTGGTTACATTTCCATCACTTCAGTAACAGGCCAGTTTCATCTTGATTCGATACTGGGTACTTGAGCAAATCAGACTTGTCATTGGCTCCACATACCCGAATGTTATAACTTAAAAAACCTTATACCTGTAGTTGACCTGACCGTTGTGGTCTGGGTCGTAGTGGATTCAGGAGTAGTGCTCACAACAGTAGTGGTGACTTCCTCTGTGGTTGATGGAGGAGCTGTGGTGGACGGGGCCGCAGTGGTGGAAACACGCACTGTGGTTATCTCAGTGGTTGACGGTGGCCCTGAAAGTAACCCGTCAATTAATCAAAGCATCATTGCCAACACCAAAGGAAGCAGAATTATCCATATAGGCAAAGATAACAAAGCTTCCATATTTATATAAACACTCTCCAAGGTGGGTTTCACATTTCATCCCGTATCTGCACATAATACATTGAGATTAACAAAAGAGTCTTAGCAAGAAACCTTTTACGTGTTAAATTTGAATAAAACATGGTACACTGAGCTCTTTCAATTCAAATAAACATAGGAATTTGTATTTTCCATTCCGAAGTCACTGTTGCTATACCTTTCAATTCAGGGCAAGCTATTACCCAGTTACATAACAGACGCTTTGCACTAATACACTGTTTTCAATGGATGAGAAGGGCACAAAGGAACCAGTCCATAAGGGAATGGTGGTTGCCATGCAAAAGTTGCCGTGAATCAAAATATATGGCAACAGTGTCTTCAGCTTGGGGATTCAAGTTGTCCGGTTTATGTGCACTCCTCATAACCAGTGTACTAGATTTTATTCTCATATAATTTGGAAAAGCCTTATTGCCCTCTTGTCTTCATTCCATTAGTGATTCTACATACCCGTGGTAGATTCCTCCGTTGTTGATATCGTAGTGGTCGCTTCCTCCGTAGTTGACACAGGGGTAGTGGTAGAAACAATTGTTGTAGTAACTTTCTCGGTAGTTGTTGGGGCTGCAGTGGTTGACGGGACTGTTGTAGACACTTGAGTAGTGGTTTGGGTAGTTGTCTCCTCGGTCGTGGAGGCAACTTCAGATCAATCAAGTGGAAAATGAACAACGTCTTTAAATTCAATTGTTAATAAATCAGTGTAGTCTTCGTTTTAATTTTCTAATAATAAACTTTGGTTGGAGATTTCAAGGTTTTAAGAAACAATACCTTCAGGAAAATTTGTAAGATGATCTTTTGACACTACTTTCTATTCCAAAGTAAACACAATCTATTTATTACATCATGTCAGTTTTCAAAACGAAAGGTTGTAAAGCTTTGCTAGGTTATGTTTTCATTACTTGAGTAACAGTCCAATTTAATCTTGATTCGGTTACTGGATACGTAAGAAAATGCGATTTGTCCTTGGCTCCACATAAACGAATGTTATTACTTATAACAATTTTACCTGTAGTCGACCTGACCGTCGTGGTCTGGGTAGTGGTGAACTCAGGGNACCGTTGTAGACACTTGGGTAGTGGTTTGGGTAGTTGTTTCCTCGGTCGTGGAGGCAACTTCAGATCAAACGAGTGGAAAATGTTCAACTTCTTTAAATTCAATTATTCAGTGTAGTCTTCGTTTTAATTTTTTTAATAATAAATTTTGGTTGGAGATTTCAAGGTTTTAAGAAACAATACCTTTAGGAAAATTTGTAAGATGATTTGTTGACACTGCTTTGTATTCCAAAGTGTACACAATCTATTTATTATATCATGTCAGTTTTCAAAACGAAAGGTTGTCAAGATTTGCTAGGTTATGTTTTTATCACTTGAGTAACAGGCCAATTTCATCTTGATTCGGTTACTAGATACGTCAGAAAATGAGATTTGTCCTTGGCTCCACATAAACGAATGTTATTACTTATAAAAACTTTACCTGTAGTCGACCTGACCGTCGTGGTCTGGGTAGTGGTGGACTCAGGGGTCGTGCTCACAGCAGTTGTAGTGATCTCCTCTGTGGTTGATGGAGGAGCTGTGGTTGACGGGGCTTCGGTGGTTGATACGCGAACAGTGGTTGTCTCGGTGGTTGAGGGCGGCCCTGGAAGAAACCCAACAACAATTCAATTTATCATATGGAAGTGATGGATGTAGCATAATATTAACAATACAATCTAAGAAAGCAAAATGACCAGTTTCATAAAAAGCAAATTTTACCCAAGGTGGACGTGTCATCTGTTCTCCTCGAACATCGCATGCAGTTAATCAAACAACCTCTGGTCTAAAATGCATTCGTTATGTCACATACCAGTGGTAGATTCCTCTGTTGTCGATATCGTGGTGGTCGCTTCCTCAGTAGTTGACACAGGGGTAGTGGTAGAAACAATTGTTGTAGTAATTTTCTCGGTAGTTAACGGGGCTGCAGTGGTTGAGGGGACTGTTGTAGACACTTGGGTAGTGGTTTGGGTAGTTGTTTCCTCGGTCGTGGAAGCAACTTCAGATGAAACAAGTGGAAAATGCTCCACTACTTTCAACGCACGTCTTAATACTTCAGTGCAATCACTTTTTCGATTGCCTTAAAAATACACTTAGGTTGCACACTTCAAACTTTCAAGAAATAATATCTTGATGAAAATTTATTATCTTATGTTTTCACACAGCTTCTACTTCCAAATGTATTATAATCTGTTCATTACACTCTGTAAGTTTATCACTTATCACTCAAGAAACAGATAAATATCTTCTAGATTCAGTTACTGGGTACGTCAGGAAATCAGACTTGTCAGTGGCTACACATAGAGGAATGTTATTACTGAAAAAAAGTATACCTGTAGTCGACCTGACCGTCGTGGTCTGGGTGGAAGTGGACTCAGGAGTCGTGCTCACAACAGTGGTAGTGATCTCCTCTGTGGTTGATGGAGGAGCTGTGGTTGACGGGGCTTCGGTGGTTAATACGCGAACAGTGGTTGTCTCAGTGGTTGATGGGGGCCCTAGAAGAAACCCAACAATAATTCAATTTATCATATGGAAGTGATGGATGCAGCAGAATATTAACAATACAATCTAAGAAAGCAAAATGACCAGTTACATTAAAAGCAAATCTAACCCAAGTTTGGCGTGTCATCCGTTCTCCTTAAACATTGCATGCAGTTTAACAAAGGAATCTCCAAAAACCCTTCTGGTCTACAATCCATTCGTTATGTCACATACCAGTGGTAGATTCCTCCGTTGTCGATATCGTAGTGGTCACTTCCTCAGTGGTTGACACAGGGGTAGTGGTAGAAACAATTGTTGTAGTAATTTTCTCGGTAGTTGTTGGGGCTGCAGTGGTTGACGGAACTGTTGTAGACACTTGAGTAGTGGTTTGGGTAGTTGTTTCCTCGGTCGTAGAGGCAACTTCAGATCAAACAAGTGGAAAATGAACAACGTCTTTAAATTCAATTGTTAGTTCAACGTAGTCTCTGTTTTAATTTTCTCGTAATAAACTTTGGTTAAAGACTTCAAAGGTTCAAGAAACAATACCTTCAGGACAATTTCTTATCTGCCGTGTTTACACGGCTTTAACCTCCAAAGTGTATACTTCTATTTGTTACACCATGTTAGTTTTCAAAAATTAAGGATGTCAATATCTTCTGGTTACATTTCCATCTTTTCAGTTACAGGCCAATTTTATCTTGATTCGGTTACTGGATACGTCAGAAAATGAGAGTGGTTGACAAGGGGTAGTGGTAGAAACAACTGTTGTAGTAATTTCTCGGTAGTTGTTGGGGCTACAGTGGTTGACGGGACTGTTGTAGATGCTTGAGTAGTGGTTTGGGTAGTTTTTTCTCCTGTCGTGGAGGCAATTTCAGATCAAACGAGTAAAAAATGGTCAACTTCATCGAACCCAAGATTAAAGCGTTCATGTAAAAGCTCTTTGTTATATTTCGAAATGTACTTGGATGAAAAATTCGGAAGTTGCTAGGACCTCCACTGTTTTGCAGAAAGACTCCTTGCATGATGTCTTAAAATGGATTGGACTTCAACACAAGCTGTACACAAATCTGTACATTACGACCTTTTATTTTCAAACTTCTTTGGTCAGAAGGTACATAGCAAAATGAGACTACCCATTGGTTACAGTAGCAGGAATTATTTTACAGAAAACAGATTACCTGTGGTCGACCTGACCGTCGTGGTCTGTTTCGTAGTTGACTCTGGAGTTGTGCTCACAACTGTTGTTGTGACTTCCTCTGTAGTTGATGGTGAAGTGGTTGTAGATGGGGCCTCAGTGGTGGATACACGCACAGTGGTTGTCTCTTTTGTTGAAGGTGCCTCTGTTAAAACAGTTAGTATCAAAAAAGTAATACTAAAGCCAATTTCTGAACTGGTGATGCACTCTGTCAGTTTCTGAAGAATTTGTAACTTGAGTTGTAAAGAAAAGAAACAATTAGAGTAAATTAATTCAGTGGAGGGTTCTTAACAGTAACTAGTGTTCTTTGGAAGCTGAGCCACCTTGAGATATAATTTTATTCAGGACACATTAATGGATCTGATATTTGCTCTGCATATCCTGCATTTTAATATAGGTTTTCCCAGCCAATTTCGGAAAATCTGTAAATGAATTAGCAATAGGAGCATTCGTTTTCGAGCGAAATAGAACAAACATTGAAATTCCCGTTTCTATTTAGCTAATATAAATATTCTATTTCAACGAGGGTGCATTCAGTCGTATAGAGTCAGCGTTCCTATTCCTGATATTGCACTGGTTTAGTATTTTGACATTCATTTTTGCGCGAAATTGAATACACGTCTGCAATCCTGCATTCATCTTTTTTTATCTCAGTCTTCCAAAAATGTGCGGACGATTTTGCATAAAGTGTTATTGAAAACCCTGGTGGCAGCCATGCCAAGAAACTCGGACTGTTTTCTCCACGTGGAAATTCTGATAACTGGGTCAGTTACCGGTCATGCCTGAACCTAAACGACTGCTTTATGGCTGCTAATACATCACTCAAATCCCCTCTACCTTCATTGTATGATGCTATTGTGGAAGTACAAGTAATACCAGGTCACAACCCAAACAGCCGACCAGTCAGCACATTTCTGTAAAAAACCTTACGCAGAGCGCCCTCCGTCAGCTATGGACGGCCATTTTCTTAATTTATCAATTAGATTTTTTTATGGCCAAATGTGAAGACCTTACATTACATCCTACCTCTGCCCATGCTAAATAACCTAGTTAAGTCGCCTTTGAGTTAGGGACTTCCCCTTGGCTGGTATGAGTTTCACCAGAGTCAGCCTTTTGCTGGACTGGATAAAAGGTACTGTGACCATATTCTGACCTTTTGTCTATTTTTTTTTTAATTTCTAGACATTGGTCAACACCCAGGGACACCCTCAAATCAATTATATGCCATTACAAGGGTCTTTGTGGCTGGGAGGCATGATAACAAACGGCCGTCTATCATAGACGGAGGTGGCACCATGATCAGTTAAATACGAGGTCGGTGCATCGGAAGCTAAACAAAAAGATCCAGTTCCTTATAGCGACCATATGGGCTCCTTGGGGTAACTGATCTGTCAAGAATTTTAACTCAGCAGTGGTTGGGGTCTAGCCAATGGAGTTTACAGTCTTGTGGTGTATGCCTGGGGTGAGGACTAGAAAAAATCTCTGCTAAGTTCGCCCACTGGAAAAAGGGTTATGACCATAATTAGTAACATGTGTCGATCTCAATTGCCGCGTCGTTAACACCTGGGTAGTACCGTATGCCGGGTCAAGAATTAGAATTCGTTTGTATGCTTATAGAACTTAAAGTTACATTCTTAGAAGTGCTTAGTTGACTGATTAAATATTTGAATATTCATGATTGAAATAAACCATTCATGCCGTCATGAAACTACCGACTATTGTAGGAAACCTATAAACACCAGCGCTGAGGGAACCTTCCTTCTTGTGCTGCGTTTCAATCATAGAAACTTGTTTTTTACAGTTTGATAAAAAATACATTATACACTATTAGTAAGATGACATTTATTATCAAAGTGCTGTCACGATTTGTATAACTTTGTATCATTCTAATCAATTTGAACGTATATTTTACGATTTTAAATTACAGCAATAAAAATAAATACTCACTTCTAAAGAGTCACGGTAAAAGACAGATTTTCAGCAAATAAACATTTGTTGGAATCGGCAAGGAATACGTCAATTAGAAATCCCAGTCACGTATTTGTAACCTCCTTAATGAACCGTAATGTACATTCATTTATTTGAAGGATGCAAAACGAAAGTCAAATGCTCGTTATTGCGAAAATGAAACCAGGCCTTCAGTCGTTTTCAAAATCTACGCTAAATTGAAATTTTATTTTACAACTGAAATCACGCATTTTTTCCGAAATTGGCCAGGAAAACCTATATTCACTGCAAAAGTCAATGGCTAGTATGCTATACCCACCCGTTGTTGACACCTCTGTGGTGCTCTTCAATGTTGTGATTTCCTTAGTGGTTGTCAACTCTGGAGTGGTGCTAATCAAAGTAGTGGTGGTAACTTCCTCGGTTGTTGACGGTGCAGCAGTTGTTGAGGGCACTGTGGTAGTTGCGACTGTGCTCACAATCGTTGTTGAAGCTTCAGTAGTTGGCACTAATACAGGTGTTCAAGAGTAGATAATTTAACATAAGTAACGTAACTTTAACTTAATTAACAGGAACAAGTTACAAAGTGAAATAGAAACTTTTATTTAGCATGAACAAGCTGAAATTGTTGATTACGTCACGTTCTCTGCTAAAGTTTTCCTGATATGCTGCTGACGTTTCTACTACCACACAGTAAATGTCATTTTTATAAAATACATGTAGTTTTCTTATTGTTTTACCGAATTGTTATTCCGAATTCCCCCATGATCTGATGATAGTGTTTAGCTAAGGAACTTCAATATGCTTACCATGTTCTCCACAACCATTAAATATAACTTGGTACATCGAGGACGGATTTGGCCTCACAATGTACACCTTTATAATGGACACGTACGGCGTGTCAGGCGGTAGCCGGATTTTGCTTCCAGTGTTACCGACAAATACCAGTCCACCATCCCGATTGGCAACAGGGGTGGTTGGTGCAGAGGGGGTCTGTTGGATCATGAAAGCAACTCTAATTTCGCCTGTTAGTCCTTGAGCTTCTTTGATGATCACAGAGGTTAGCCGTGCCCTTGGTGTGAACTCAGCTTGGAGGTAACTTCCCACGTGGGGATTGGATTCATTCAAGGGAGGACTAGAGGGCGACCACAATTCTCCCGGTGTCATGTTGGCGTCTGTGTCCGGGTTGAATCTAGTAACCGTTACAGATGTAAGTGCATCCAGATCTTCAGCACACTCCTCCGGAGTTGTTGTAGGAGGTAGTCTTGTGGTTACCTCTGCCGCCCCCAGCAAATAATAAATAAGTATCCTTATTTTAGTCTTGTCACGGACAAAAGTAAGGGGTTGATCGAGTAAAGTATTATGGGGAAATGTTTGAATAAAGTATGTGCAACAAACTAATGATATTTTTTCAATTTATCTGCTGCATTAAACACATGCCCTTCAATGTGTAAAAAGATATCACCTGTTGTTGTCCTGATTGTTGTTGTTTCTGTCGTGGTTAGCTCGGGTGTCGTAGACACTACTGTAGTGGTAACTTCCTCAGTTGTTGATGCTGGAGCTGTTGTAGAGGGAGCCTTTGTAGTTGACACTCGGGTTGTCGCTTTCTCAGTAGTGGATGGCGCTTCTGGTGTATGGGTAAAATACAAGACAATGCGTACCTTTCAAGGTATTTTTGGAAAAACAGAGTTAATAACAATTCAAAGAAACTAAGATAGCATACACAAACCAAGATATCACACAGCAAAGTAAAATAAAATAACCTGTAGGCCTAGTTGTCGCTTCAGTGGTTGTCACTAAAGTAGTTGTCTCTTCAACGGTTGTTGACTCAGGTGTCGTTGACAATACAACTGTGGTACTTTCTTTTGCTGTCGTCGATGGTGCGCCTGTTGTAAAAGGGACTGTTGTGGTTTCACGAGTTGTCACTGTTGTGCTTATGGCTTCGGTTGTCGATGGAGTTTCTGCAGACAACAAATACAACTAATACAATATTCATGTATTTTGTGCCACAAAGAATTTGCAACATTTTAAAAATGAGCAGTAAATATTGGATTCTAAATCGTCCACTATGTAACTTGCTGAGAGAATATTTGCATTGATTTCGTTTTTGTCACGTTTGTATGTCGACAAATATTTGGGAAAGCCATTGCCATGTATTTCGAAAATGTTCACCGGGGTTATTGTGTTTTTTGAAAATCATCCTAAATGATGTCACTCAAAAAATATTCCCGCAGTGGTGTAACCAGTGTGCCCTATAAAACCACGAAAAGGAAATCTTGGGGGGGGGAGAGGGATCACCGAAAACAATAACTCAAAGTTTCTTTGAGAATCAGGATTATTTCAAGTCCACTAACCTGTTGTAGTAATTACTGTTGTTACCTCTGTAGTTGTCGCCTGCGGTGTGGTTGTTACAACAGTTGTTGTTACACCCTCTGTGGTAGACCCCTCTGTAGTTAGTAATTCGGTGGTGGTTACTGTTGTGGTAGGCTCCTCTGCAATATTTTAAATTTACACATATTTACTGCTTTTTTCATCATATACCTTTTGTTACCAATTATTAGATGATAGCAATCAGTAAGTGGTGATTCGGATGACCTTTCAACCCAATGAATAATTTGCAGTATTTGCTTCATTATTACCGAATGAATACCCATGAATGATTCGAGACTGACGAGTACAATGACTATGACCTTAGCTTGTAGTTCTGTGAAACCAACCGATGATATAGGAATGCGATTGGCTAACCTTAGCGCCCGATGAGTACTTTCCATCGTGAAGGAAAAGAAAGCCAGCGCACCCCCACTTTTATGTGCAGGCAGGAGACTAGTTTTTGGGAGTGTCTGTTGAATAACGAAGTGGTCTTAAAAAGGGTGCATTCGTTCTTGCACTTGTATTTGTTCCGAAGAGTGAAAATTAACTTCATTTGAGTGAACATCCATTCCGTCCGACTGAAACTAGGGAAACGAAATGAGTGGAAATTACACGCTGGAGTAGACCAAAGTTTCAATTGAGATTTCACCAAATACAGTTCTTTTCTAGACTTCTTTCATCTAAATTAAGAATGATTTTCAGTCTGAAGCATTTCGTTCCTGGTTTTGATCTATTAAAAAAGGAACAAAGTGTTTGGGGTCTTAACTTATATTTGTATTCTAACTTCGCCTGTTTTCGTTTCTTGCTGTTTAGAGCACCCTGTCCAAAACCAGAACACTGCTGCATTATTTTTTCATCTCATGTACACATTTTACCATAAACATTTTGGATTTAAGGCCACTGGATTCCTCGTGTTGTTACAAGTCAGTGGGTTTTTTAGTGGTGAAAATGAACATTAGGAGATGTCTCACTGCCCTAGATTATCTATTGGTATAGCAACAACTTAACAGAAATAAAGTGGCGCTTGAGCGCAATCAGAACATCGTAGCACCAGTGCTCTTAATGTATTCATTTATTTGTTTCCAAGTTAATGCTAGGATGCAAGTCAGGGAAGTCAGTTGTCTATTGTCTTAGCTATGTCAAACGTTTGCTACCAGAAATAATGAATTTACACAAAAATGCACCATACAAAACACAGAAAGATGTTTTACAACAATGTAGGCATGAGCAAAATTTGCATTTTCTTTTGGACACACCAATATGATGCACCATGATAAAAGAATTGAAGCCAAGAATTATCCCAAAGTTAAGTGCATGAACCAATGGATGCTGACAATTGTTGAGAGTATTGCCAAAGTTTGTGACCACTTCAGTCCTTCAATGAAATAAAGAGATCTGCGTTAAGAATGCTGACGAAATGATGAAGATAACGTTAAAACAGCCCAAAGAACGGAACACCCTTTCCTTTGAAGCCAAATACCTTATTTGTTCAATACCAACTAAGAAATAACCATTACTGAGAAGTGGGGAAAATGACATGTTGGCAGGTTGAAGTTCACAGGAACAAACCTGTCGTCGACTCTGTACTTGCGAAAGGCGTTGTTCCTGGTAATGCTAAGGTGACAAATGAAGTCAACGTCGATTAAGTCAGTTTCCAGCTAAAACATTCGTTCACATATTTATTACATCAAGACACACGCAAAATTTTAAAAAATATATATATGTGCGCCAAACCAGTTACAGTCTTTGAAAAATATCGTTTTCTTTTATAGGTAGTCTATAATCACATTATGGTTTGATTATAAAATATTACAAACACTACAAGTGGCGGTTAGAAGTCAAAATAAATGTAATATAAATTTAGTAAGCTCTAAAAGCAGACTCATACGGGCCCTTTTCCGGGTAATTCATGTTTAATTCGCATCTTGTGTAGCTTTCCTTCTCATTGATAATCAGGACCTACGCTCCACACAGCCTAGATAGTCCAGTTGCAAGGGTGTGTCTTCTTGAGGTTTTCGTTTCAGTCTAAAATCTAAGTCTGTTACGAATCGTAAGGGCTCTGTGAAGATTACATCGATGGATTGGTCCTCAATGAGCTGTATGGATAAATCCTACATAAAAACAAAAGTCGAAGAAAAGAATAGCAGTGAGGATATAGAGGTTAAGATGGATTGATTCCTGCTCTGTATAAAAAGTAACCTTTAAGTTGAGAGTCGCTACACCTTATCAAGTGGTACACATGACAGGAAAATACACTGAATTGTAGGCTTCTTTGCCACTTGCAAGAAAAAGAAAACAGCAGAGATGGCTCTCCAAGTTGTGTTACACGTTCCCGTGATATCATAATGTTCAGGGTTATAGCATTCGGTTATGCCTACCATCTGCAGGAAATCCAAAGACCGATTGACACCGTAGCTAAGTGTAACTTCAAGATGCAAGGTCACCATGCCCCGAATTCGAATTCCTCTTATTTCTGCAGGCGTCCTCAGTATCGTCTTGATGATGGAGTATGTGACAACACTGTCAACCTTCCAATCATCGTGCGGACCATAAAGTGTTGTATCCTTATTTCCGTCTGATATAGCCCACATTTCATCTACACCAAGTTCCGTTAGGGACTCCAGACATTCCTCTAGGTAAAAAAAAAATACAAAAGATGAATTGGTGGTGCAATGCTCTGTTTTCATCATAACATCGAGATGGTCTTTTACTGATATCAGTTTGTGTAACAGCAGATCATTTTTATATCAAATAGTTAAAATAAAACAAATAACCACTTATCTCCTTGTGGACATGGACTCCTCGTACTCCTTTCGATGTTCTACAGCGTCGTGGGTATCGGATACTTATGGCATATTTGTTCATGTCTTCATCTCCCCAAATCTGAATTAGACACTTGAATCTCAATCTCATAGCTTTTTTGCTTTTGCGAAAAGATGTGATACTATTTGATACGCTGCGCAAAATCAAGACTAATTGTAACACAGTAATCTGAAGCATGAATCGAATTGCAAAGGTATCTTAATGTCAGCACAAGCAATGAGGTGCTGTCTACAAAAAAAAAATTCATTTGAATCCATCCATTTCGTCTCCTATACTTTTCCGGATGAGGATTTCATTGGACTAGCTTAAACTTAAAACATTTCTCCCTCTGTCATCAGTACAAACTTTTCAACATTCAAATACTCAGGCTTCCAGTGACTGCACAAAACATTTTCTAATGATAATGTTGGAAGGCTTGACTGCCATGTTTTCAATCAGGCGCCTGCTCTTTCCAACCAACATGAGACCTGCAGTTTTGCAATTTAAATTCATAGCTTCATCTATTTCCCTCTATTGTTTGTTTGATGAAAGTTTAGATGAGATTACACCTTTTCCGTGAATGCAATAAAAGTAGTGTACAAAATCATCCCAATTACATACGTCTGAATTTTCCTCTTAATTCTACCTTTATGGGTGGTAACTGCAGCTGTTGTCTGTTCTGTTGTGGTACTTGGGGCAGCTGTGCTTGAGGGAAGTGCTGTAGTAGGTGGTCGCACCGTAGTTGACGGTGGTGCTGTTGTGGATCTCAATGCCGTGGTTAAGGGCGGTGTTGTGGTTGATTTTAATACCGTGGTTGAGGGCGGTGCCGTGGTTGATCTAATTACCGTGGTTGAGGGCGGTGCTGTCGTTGATGGTAGTGCTGTGGTTGATTTAATTACCGTTGTTGAGGGCGGTGCCGTGGTTGATCTAATTACCGTGGTTGAGGGCCGTGCTGTCGTTAATGGTGGGGCTGTGGTTGATTTAATTACCGTGGTTGAGGGCGGTGCCGTGGTTGATCTAATTACCGTGGTTGAGGGCGGTGCTGTCGTTGATGGTGGGGCTGTGGTTGATCTAAATACCGTAGTTGCTGGTGGTAGAGTGGTCGATCTAAATGTTGTAGTTGACGGTGGTGCTGTGGTTGATTTCGATGTCGTTGTTGAAGGTAGAGCTGTTGTTGGTGGCGGGGCTGTTGATGATGGTGGAGTCGTCGTTGACGGCGGTGCAGTAGTTGATCTAAATGCTGTGGTTGATCTAAATATCGTGGTTGACGGCTGTGTCGTTGTCCTAAAAGGTGGAGTTGTTGACCTGAAAGGAGTGGTCGATGGGATTGCTGTAGTTGATCGCCTGGAAGTTGTTGGTCTCTGTGTGGTTGTAACCACAGGCGTCGTTCTTGTTGTTACGACTGTGGTAGTGACTCCTGGTATCAAATAATGCGTATTGAAGATAAGACAAGTAGTACAACCACAGGAAAGCAGAAGACACCTGACTGAGTGCAATTGAAATTTTAGGGGTTTTCCACTTAAACCTCCTGACAGATGACACTTTTCAACAGAATAAGCATCTAATCGCACAAATTAAAACTGATGAGGTGTTAATGCATTTCCTTTTAGAGCTAATAAGTAAAAGTCTTGAAAGAGATACTGGCAATTGTTTTACAGCACTTCCGTGGAATACAGATGTTCTTCTTGCGTTATAAATTTTATAAAAAGCTAAAGGTTCACCTGGCGTCGTGGTGCATCCAGGTATGGGCACACAGACCATCTTATATTTAATATCAGTACTGCTTTGAAAAACCAGCTTGCAAACACAACGTTTGCAGTCCTCTATGACCTCGTCTCCGGGCTGAAATAGGAAAAAAATGAAACACCAGTTGATTTTTTTTCTATTGAAATCCAAGTGCGAAATATTGACCTACCATCTTCAAAAATTAAGGGCATAATAAAATACCGGTAAGGAAATAATAAAAAAATCACTCTCTTTCAAAACTGTACCTGACAGAAACACAACATATAAAACTTAAATTACCCCATAAGTTTTATTCTCGTAAACACATGTTCCATTCGCACATGGTTGTTCAATTTTCACACACATGTACGTCTCCCAGGAAAAGCCGATGTGATATTCCAGAGATTTCTCACTCAGATCACCGCCGTAGTCTCTGAGATAGCCTTTAGTGCAATTGCATGGCGACGGATAATTCCCGTATTGGGCGAAGACGGGTTTACAGAAGATGTCCGTAGGGAAAGGAGGATCCTTGTCCTTCATTTCGTAGTTTTGGTATTTACATGGAATGGGTTTCACGACGTGACAGTTGTCATGGCAAATTTCTGTAGGAAGAAATAAAAAATAAGACTTTAAACAAAAAATTTGTACGTAAGTAAGTACATTGGTGACCAACTTTTGTCCGCATTATTTAAGTGCATTGAAATCACAACACATACATTCAAAGCCACATTACTGGAAGCTGCCAGCTGGCACTTTTTAAACTTAAATAGCTGAATTCATTTCCTTTACTCAGATGTGATGACAATTAATGCTCATAATCAGTAAACAAAATCTGATAATGCCACTGGCCAATAATTTCTGGGTTTTTTTCTTGTCAAATGTTATCGCGGAAAAATTGTACTTTTAATATTTTTTAAATAATTGGGCAGTGGTTTTCAAAGTATTACCTGGATAAGGAGTGGTGTAAGGTGTGGTGCTAGGGGCACGTGTAACTGTAATAAGGGAGAGTACACATTAAATTCATCATTCATCAACATCCGTGCACTTGTTGTGTATGAAAAAAAAATTCAACATTTAAAAAGCAATATTGTCACGAAACGACAAAGAGGTTCTTCTGTACGTCCTTGTGTGCGCGTCCTGGGCAGACAGTTCAAAATATGGGACAAAGGTTTTAAAGTACGAATGCGGATGAAGAGAATTCGTTTTTGCAATTTTCACTAAACTATACTGTCACAAAAGTCAATCTGTTTAAACTGAAATGCGTAGTTTTCTGTATGTGCGATACTCGCACGGAAACATTCGGTCAGAACATGAAGCTGAAATTATTTGGTGCATGATTTTTACGCATTGTACCAAAAAGGCACTTTTGTATTAGGTTGTGGAGATACGGACAGTTTAAGCAAAAAATACTTCAAATACTTGCCTGTTGTTGTGGACGGTGCGGTGGTTGTTGGTCCTTGAATAGTTGTAGGTTTTTCAGTTGTTGGTGCTGGAGTTGTGACTGTAATAAAAATTAAAATGTGAGCTGCCTTCACAAAAAGGATACAAAAGGTGAACGCGAATTGTATATTAAGATTGGCTATTGTTTTTATTCTCCCCTGAAGAGCTACAATCACCATGGGGACATTCAAATTCTGATGACCGAAAATCGCCGTAAGCACGAATACAGGGGAATATATTCGCTTTATCTACGAAAGCGTAAACATAGGGGCAACCTTTTCCGTTGCGATGCTAATAAATGAGAAGGGTCGACTGATACTTAGAATATATATTGCACACATACATAGTTCTTCATACCTATACAGGTGGGAAGATTGCTGTCATACACGCACACAAACCCGTATTTTGATGTCTGAAAGTTGTACAGACAGGTGCAGTTTTCACAGTCGCCCTTGATGTGGGAATAACCCTCCTGAAAATGACAATTAGAGAAGGTGGGGATGGACATCACATACTAGCCATGAAGCGCAGAGATTGCTTTCGAACGGCTTCAAAGCGAAGACATACTTTCCAGCATAAAAAGTTCATAATAAAAGAGTTTATTTTAAGGTTCTGCTTTATTGGCTTTACAGTGCTTTGCTTGATTGTAACCCTCCAAAAAAATCTTATCTTATACAGTGTATCTTTAAAAAAGAAAATCGAGATTAATTACTCTCTTTGTAGAATGTGACTAAATATTTTTGTAAATAGAATATGTAGTTTTGATAAGTACATCATCTTTTTCTTTTGACATCAGGAAATCCACATTTCAATCACTCATAACTGAACAGAAAGTGGTTATAATGGACCGTGCCTGAAGAGGCTTTGCACCAGAAGCATCATAGTTTTCACACCGTAAGGTATTAGGTTTACCGCCAAAATCACTAACTCAAAGACAACCACAGTTAGGAGCTTATTCTTGAAGCTGCCTATGCCCCGGTGTCCTTCAACATGCCCCCACTACTTCCAACGCAAACTACTGCCCTTATTCCCGTCGTTTTAATGGGTATCATTTAATTTTGGAGATTGCAGCAAATATTACACAATTCTGACAAAAAAACATCTCTGGACAGTATGAATTGAACACCAAGACAGCCATTTGGTGCAAAGCCATCTCTGACTTGGTCCATTAAACCAGTTTATGCTCATTCATATGTGATCGAAATTTGGGTTTCCTGGTGACTCTGGTGTCATAAGAAAGAGGAAATTGTAACAAAACGGTTAAATAAAACAGATGGATACAATTTACCAAAATAATTAGTCACATTCAAGAAACAAATATATTTATCTATTTCCTTTTTTAAAGCCACCCCGTGTAATACAAATCGAAGTTATTCAATGTTAACGACAAGAGCAAAAACGTAAGGACAAACGAACCTTCACCTATCCTACCTCGTTTTTATTAACTGCTCCAACAATTGTCACTCACCTCGTGATAATTACCATTTTCATCGGTGCAATCACAGTTTTCTTTAAGTCGTACACACATATATGTGCCGTAATGGAAGAAATATTCACTGTCAATATCGCCGTTAGGCCCATCCTTGGAATAACCGTCTTTGCATTTGCAATCCTTGTCATAACCCGGGATAATAGGGTTACACAAAAAGTTATTGTCGAATGGCCTGTTGCCTCCTACGTAGTATTGCTCGTCGCATTCTATCTCTTTGTCGACGTGGCAGTAGTCCGGGCAAACTTTTTAAAAATGACAAGAAATGCAACAAAATTACGACAGAAATTCCTGTTGTAGGCCTATATTTAAAACGTATGATTTGCTTCTCAAGTATTTAAGGATTCCCATTTTGGCTATAGCGTGTGATTCACATTCCATTTTTTGTACAAAAAGGAACAGAAGATTCAGATAGACAAAAAAATGGACAGAAGAGAAGTTGCAAAAGGGTTTTGAATGAGTGAAAGGCATCATTAAAGCAGCTATGAGTCCAAAGCTGGACCAAGGGAGGCCGCAATCTTTCTAGCAACTAAGGCTCGTTTGGTCGGACCTGTGCTTTGATGATTCACAAACGACTATGTAACGCAAGTGCTACGACTGCTTCGCTACCAACAAAATTAACACTCCCAAAGAACATGACTCTTTCCAACCGACTAGGGAGTGCTCCTGTTGAAAGGCGGATACAGGGCGCTCTTACGCCGACGTGACCTAACACACAGCTGCCAATGACGTCGGCTAAGATTTCGGCGTCGTGCACAGTTGGTTAGCCCTAAACACTTTATTGATGACAAGAAGTATGAGGAAACTAGGGACCTTCTATCAAAGCATGGGATCAGCACGACACTTCACTCAATTAATTATACCATTATGCCATTTGGTATAGAATCATAGTTATGAAATATGTAAAAAGAAAAGTGGCTTCAGGATTAATTTTACAATGCATTGTGTCGGATCCTATAATTAAAGCTTGTCTATAGTAAGGGTCTGATCTCAGCCCATATTTTTGTATCAGAAAAAAATGAAGAGGTTACGCTGTACTTGGTTTGCCGGGAGTGGTACTCAGAGGAGTTGTAGGCTGGGTCGTGGTCGTGGGTGCTTCAGTGCTCACAAATGGTGTTGTTGTGGCTGGTGTCGTTGATGGAGGGGCTATTCAAATACAAAATTAAATAGCAATGACTCAGCGATTTTCAATAATTTTAAACAGTCCTGCATATTAGAATTCAAACTTTGTAGATTCAAATGAAAGAGATAACTAAAAGGCACTTACGACAGAAAGGACAACAGATGTTTGGATCGTGTATGGGCTGTAAGAAAGTGAAATTCGTGAAATTATTAATTTCTGACAATTTGCAATGTCTATGGAAAAAAAACAGATATCTTGAATCACTTCCTGGATGAACTATTACTGTGAACTTAAAATGCCCAGCTTGAATGTGAATTAAACGACAAAAATAAAGGCAAGAATATTGATCAACGGACACAAATATTAAACGACATAAGAGAGTAAGTAAAACCTACCGAGCAATAAACAGACACGAAAATAAAATTATACATGTGACATCTAGTTTGAAAAGTTGACATGAGTGAAGTAAAAACAAAGAAAATAAGTACAGTGAAGTAGTCAGAAACACCAAGAAGGGACAAACACAAAGGTCACATGTTAAGGTAGAATATGGATCATTCTACAAATTGGGGTCGTGGTTTTTCTGTCCCTGGACATGATTTTTTTAATGATTAGAACTCACTGTTTAATATCCAAGACGGTGTATTGTTAAATTTCCAATAAGTACCTGCCACACGAATGAAAATAGTCTGAAATCATTGTCAGTGACGTATCCCTTGTCAAAATACACATGTCAGGGATAACAAGGACGGAAAATGTCACACGTAGGACCCCACATTTATAAAATGACCCATAATCTATTCATTTACTGTACTGACGAAGAATGAATACTCACAGCAATCAGTATGGACAAAAGGAATGTCAAGTTTGGGACTATTATTATTTCACCAAATTTTTTTCAGGCTGGACGATAGTTTTAAGCGCATTAAAGTCCTTTAGAACTTTAAAAACCGGTTTCCGCCCACCTCTTCCGGCTGTGCCTCACTCATTTTTGGGAAACTTGGCATGCACAAAAAGCTTCATTTGTCATTACAAATGTGAGGACCGAATTCAACCACGACTACTAAGTACTTACGAACGATCGGATGGTACAAATCGCCATATAGAAAAAAAGTAAATAGAAATGAGGAATTCCGGTTTTTTTTGTTTAAAGAATACTGAGTTCTTACTCTCTTTAGTGATTAACAAATGATAAAATTTTGCTTCTTCTTGTACTCTGTCGGAAACGAATTTACCTGATATATCATGAACACTTATAGGTCTGCAGCATCCTCTGACACAGTAATTTAAATACACTTAATGGAACGACAGACAAAGACGGGGTCATTCTGAAAATGCCAGCATTGCATCACATAGTTCTAAAGTTTCTTACGTTTGGACATGTAAGGTCGCCGCACTGGGTCACATTGCACACCACATTCTTCGACTCTTCGCATACACAGACTGTGCACTTGTTGGGCGACCACGTTTCACCGATCTAAATGAGGTCGAGTCGTACAAAGTTGTAAAAGTTATCAAATCGGTATTTTCAATATAAAAAAAACCATTAACAATTCTGGAAACACTATTTATAAAGCCATCTTCTAAAACAGTTTTGCCCAAACCAACTTTTCAATAAGTGTCACTTATAAACTGCCTTTTGTTACATGTTTTTACAAATATTTTGTTTTGAACTCAAATACATTTTTTTCTTGATTGGAAGTTTTGTTTCACGCACCTTTCTGTACACCAAGGGGGGATCGTGTTCAAATCTACAGCCATCTATAATAGGCATAATGAAAAATAAAAAAAATCAAAATTTATCCACAATATTTCACTTGAAATACAAGTTGCCAAACAATGTACCTTGAATGAGGAAGACGTTCCCTCGTTTAGTTTTCAAAACATGAACTCTTTCAAAATAAGACCATACAAAATGAGGCATTAGTGCACAGAACAAGTAATCAATCTAGTCCAATCTCTTTGTTTATGTAAACAAACTGACAATGTTTAATTTTTCAATGAATCTTTTATTCTTGTAACCAACATTCGAAGAGATAAACGAGGTAATATTAACGAAAATGGCTATGAACCACTTTTGCTTGGATTTATCTGTCCCCACGGTTTTTGATGGAAAGCGTCTTTCTTGTAGAAAGAGAATATACCTATTGGAACGCAGTGGCAACAAATACGGTCATTCGGGAACTCGTTAACCAGTTTTTCCTGTTGTAGAGAAAATTGAATAATAAAGCAACGAGTGATCAAATTTACCATTCACCATTAAGTTGAACATTTTAGAAAAAGAACATCCATCAATTAATTGCAATGACATATGATGTGTTTTCTCATCCAAGCATCAGTCACATCACTCAACAGTTCTTGTTTAATTCAGATAATTAACAATTTGCTCCATTATTGAGTCAGATCAATCAAATAATTAATTAAGGAACGTCTAAGTTAATTTGAAATGGAATGTGCACCTTGCCTCCACGGTGTTTTCCATAGCATGGCAAGAAGGTTCTGCCCAGCACATCCGTGCAATTAAACAAAGCCTTAGCAACAACAGCAATTTCCGCAAAAGTGAGCACGTTTGCGCTTTACTGATAAGCTGCATTACGAAAATGTGGTTTAGTACTGCTACAGTGAAATGTGACATTTGAAACAAAATGAAAAAGAAAACTCTCAGTGGAGAGTAACTTACGCCGACAGGACAACTGGGGATGTGGCAGTATTCGCCACAGCTTACGTTACATGCTTCTTTGCTCTCCCATTTACACATGATGCATTCCTCTTCGTACCATACCGTGTCATTCTTCACAAAAGGAAAAGATTTTGGTTTATCAGACTATACTGCCCTATCTGAGAAATTGATATCAACTTATAGACACATTGTGCTCAATCCTATATTGCAAGTAGACCCAGAGGGTTCAAATGACTCTAAACAATCTGGCCCCTGAAACACACACACTGAAAACTACAATAAAAAATAGTCAAAACTGATTTAGCTTAACTGAAAATATGAATTCTTTACCTATTACTCCAACTTACATAATGATCCAGATATTCACACAGACAATCACTGACACATTTTTCGCCGTCCCAGTATTGGCCCTGAGGGCAGCTGCAGCCTGGAACACACTGGACAGGACATGGACGCAAGGGATGATCGCATGTACGGTTGCATGCACATTCCTGGTATTCCATTGGTCTGCAGTCTTAAATAAAAGACGGCGAAAGTGAACATCAGTTTTGGTCAGCTAAAAACTGATTCCCTTGAACCTTTCGGCAAGGCTCTGTAGAAACTTTAAGAACGTGAGGCAATTAATATTTTCTACGATTGTTGCAAAGATGGTGGACTTTTTTGGACCTATATCAACTGATAAATAATCTTGCAAGCAATTTACCTGATACCCCATAGGGCGAAAAATAATTGCACTTTGTTTTTACAGAGTAAAAATAAATGCTACTTTTCTTAGGGAGTAGTGGGTAGGATAAACTTACACAAGGGTGCGGGCAGGATTACTTCATTTGCTTTATTTTGAACTGTTATAGTATGTTTCAACTTATTTATTTGGATTTTTACGGGTAATGAAATTAAGGTGTCCTCCAACATGCACGGGTAATTTAGCCCGTAGGTCTGGGAGGCCAAGGAGAAGATAAATTAACGTAAAAGGAGAACCCAAATATAAAAGTCCAGGTAGACATCTCACATTAAGCCGTGACCGAAAACTTAATTCACAAGCTGACGCCATATTGTAATGCCAGGAAAAGGCACTGTATGATGCATGATGGGTTCAAATGAATCAAAAAATTTTCTACCTGGAACACACTTGCAGCACTCGCCCGGTTTTTCCACTAAAACTTCTCCTTCTGGACAGTGCAGATTGCAAGTCTTGATCAAATTCGCTGGGTCGTCAATATCTACAACTGACTGGTCGCATATGGCCGAGTGACAGTCGTCTATGATGACTGTTTCCCCATACTTCGATGAAGAGTGAAAAAAAGTGTGACAATCACTGGAAAGTCTTGCAAAGACGACTTCAAGATTCCCACTGGAAATTTAAGTGGCTCATGAAAGCATCATTTTGTGTGAAAAAATCCTACTTCTCAAAGAATGTTAATGACAATATTTCAGACACAGTTGATCAGACTCCTTCAAAAAGCGAATTAATGCATAATTTGATAAGAGTACTAAACACTGCACAAGCTATACACTTAAGGAATTTTCCTTTATCTACAACTTCTTTGACGTAAAAATCAAAATATTTCTGAATAATTCTTGGTTCAAAACTTGATTCATTGGAGCGATCTTTTAATAAATGTTTAAAGATGAATAAACGTGATACAGAGGTTCAAAACGTAAATTAAAAAATCTGCATGAATGCACACTTTCACCTGATAGAATTGACCGTTGAAATAACAAGGACATTTTTCTTTTTTTATGCAAGTGTTGTTAAGCAGCACTTGGCCGTCTGGGCAACTGCAGCCTGGCACGCAGGTGCTACGGTCGCAATCGATGATGGTAGGTGGTTGTCCACCAGGATACTGAGCCATGGCCTGACAATCCAAATGGCAACTGCAGTCTTTATAGACAAGTTCATCAGGACAGTGATCTGCAAAAAGATGGAACAAAGAGGAAACAATGTGAGGCATTTGTGACTACGGTGGATTTTTCTCCAAAGTAAATTTGAAAATACAGGAACTGTGTCTATCAAATGGAATTTGATATCAAGCAATTCCATATCTCGTCGATATTGGGTAATTAGGTGTATATGTGACACTTGTTGATGTTGAACTCAAAAATAGGCATTACAAAAACCGGGTTCATGATGTGTCCTATAATGTTTCCGTGGTAACGACATGTTCTGAAAATCACTCGAGACCACGCTTACCTGGTGATGTAGTCACTGTCTCTGTAGTAGTACCAACTGGAGTAGTGGACGGTATCACTGTGGTACTTGCTTCCGGGGTCGTCGGTTCGCAACCATAATATACGTCATGACAACACTGCAGTCGTATCACGTAGTCAAGGCATCTTCTTGGGAAGTCTGTCTGGTCAACGTGCCAACAGCGGAGCCCCTCTGCACGACTGCAAGATACCTGCTGTCCGGATTCTGCACTGGACGTATCTTTATTCGATTTCAGGGCACATCTGATGTCCGATGGTACCTCGCAGAAACTGTACAACTGTCTCAGCTCACTGATCAGCTCAAATTCGTAGCTGTCGTCGATAACTTTTTTGCCGTCGACTTCGTCATCCAACCACTCAGTCCAAGTGCACTCTTTTTCATACCTGGGAATGCATTCTGGTAGGCATGCAGACGGGGAACACAATGTCAATATCGGTTTTAAGTCAAAGGCATAACTAGAATGGTTTTTTGAGGGGGGGGGCACCAGGGAGTTCACAATTTTTTAAAAAGGGCACTGAAAGAAACTGAACTTTAGATTGTAAATAGGGTTAACACATTTCGAAATTTCAACTACGGACGGGGGGGCAACACGGCCACGGACTTTATCCAGAGGGAACGTGTCCCGTGCCTCAAAGTTACGCTGGTGACTAAAGTGCATTCCTAGAAATGATGAATAACCGATAGAGTGCTCGCAGCATTATGGTTGCAGTTAAGTCACCTCAAAAGTATCTTCATTTATTTCAAATAAAAACACATAAAATCGTTCATCAGTCATCCTCACAACTAATTTTACAAAATATAATATCAGTGTCATTGTTTCAAACTAGCGCAAAACAGCATTAGAAAATACACAAAAGGCTTGTACTCGTACTTTGGAATTGCCCGCACCTTTACCTGTTGTCGATGGAACAGTAGTGAGCTCAGTTGTCGTTCGTTTCGTCGTTGTCACTTCAGGTGTTGTAGTAATTACAGTAGTTATTATTCTCGTGGTTGATGGTTGTGTTGTTGAGGTAACAGTGGTAACTTCGGTTATTTCTTTCGTTGTTGACTCCTTTGTAGTCGACGCCTCTGTTGTGGATGCCTCAGTAGTTGGTGCTGCTGTAGTCGTTTCCCCTGTTGTACCGAATAATGTATAATGCAGAGAGTAAAATGATTCCTGTCAAAACTTGACGCTAGTCTGTAAACTGCTCAATTTTAAAGCGTTCACGTTGATTTATCTAAGCAGTTTTCTCCTGAATAACGAAGAATTTGGTCCACCTGAAAATACACTTAAGTTTTGTAACTATCAAACTTCCTTACTCGTTTCTTCGCATCCAAGTCAATTTTTTTCCTTTTCATTTGAAACTGTCCATAAATGGAAGTCAGGAATAACGCTTTTAAAGGTGGACACAAGATCTTGCCCCCTCTGGTTCAACAGATGGCAAAACAACGGTCGACTGTGATGCCAAAAACCAAGGAATTCTAAAGATGCACCGCTCATTCGTGAACTGCCTCAGAAAAACATTATTTTACCGTGATCATGCTCACGAACCATCCTTCTTTGTTCCCATTTCCTCAAAGGTAGTAACTCCCATCAAAATGTAAAATTAAACGTATCATACCTAATTCCTCGCAGCCATTGAAGATCACTTTGTAACCATCTGGGTTTGAGGTAATAATGTAAACCCTCAGTCCTGACACATATGGCACACTCGTGGGCAGATGGATCTTGTTGTTTATTTTGCCGTCAAAAGTCCCTATGGTGTTTTCGTCTACAACAGGGAAATAGTGTTGCCGGTCACCCGGCTGAAACTTGAAGGCGACGGTTACATCTCCAGATAGGCCCCGCTCAGTTTTGATTATAACAGACGTGACCTTAACCCGTGGGCTGAAGGTGGCTTCCAAGTACGATCCATCATATCGGGCATCTGTGTCATCAGGTGGATTAATAGGGCGCCACCACTCTTCAGGTGTAAGTCCACTTTCTGAGTCCGACTCTTCGCGTGTTACGGCCACAGGCTGGTAGGTGTCGAGATTTTCTGCGCATTCCTCTGGAGTTGTTGACGGGGGTGGTGGCGTTGTTTCTGAAAATTCAAACACAATTCCATCACAACCCTTGTTCAGGATCACACCTTCTGTGTCTCAGTTTTGTGCAAAGATGACATATTTCACAAGATATGCCTGAATTTACGTACATAAATATAGAAGGGGTACCGCGTTGTTAAAACAAAATTTTTTTTCTGCTTTGATATGAACGTTATATTCATAAATATCTAAGCCAGCGGTTTTTTAAGCGCTGGGTAGAGGTGCAAGATCTTCTTGTGACACATAACTCATGAGCTATTATGACCTACTCTGGAAAAAAATTGCGTTTGTCTTGATTGCCCAGTATCTGCCAACGCGTACATGAACATATAAACCAATACTGAGAAATACATTTCGAATACATGCCATACACGCATATGGTTTTTGAATATTAGGCCCTAAAAGCCTTATGAACTAGTTACGGTTGTCCAATAGGTAAACATTACGCTTGCACGTATGCATCTCTATGTGGAAAGACCCCCAACACGTTGACAAGTTTTCCAAGATGACAAATGCAATTTCCACCTGTTGTTGTCTCCACTGTTGTTGTTTCTTTTGTAGTTGCCTCGGGTGATGTGGTGACAACTGTTGTTGTAACCTTCTCAGTGGTTGACGGTTGTGAAGTAGTAGTAGTGGGTGTCACTGTAGTTGACAGCCGAGTTGTTCTCCTTTCTGTAGTAGACGGGGCTTCTACACATAAAAAATGCGTACATTATATTGGCTAGATATCCGTTATATCGCCCGAAGGTGGAATCTCCTTTAGCGAGTACATCTGTTACAGATGTCATCATCAGGTAGATTAAATGAATGCTTTCTGCTGTTGTGGGGCTCGGATCATCCTGTACGCAGTCTCAAGTCCGTGTTGACTCGCGATTTCCGTGCCTTAGACATGATTTGGGTCACATAGGCAAAGGAATTCCACTACATGCAGCCAAGTGCTCAGGACTCGCACTTGAGACAAGTGCCATAATTTGACTCTGGAGTCTCGACTACAGCACTGATAAATCATAACAGTTTATGATGAAGCACTCTCCATAGCTAAGTACAAATAACTAAATAATGCACCAATTTCCGACAATATATTGCACCATTCATTCAAAGGTTGTCCAATTTTTCTTTCTTCACTGGCTGTACAAGAAAATGGTGCAAAAAACTACGGGCACTGTAATGAACCTGGAAAAACAGCAATGATTTTTTACCTGTTGTGCTTTCTTCAGTCGTGCTCAGAGCGGTAGTTGTTTCTTCCGTTGTCGTTGTTTCTGGGGTTGTCGTGTACACCACAGTGGTTGTCACCTCCTCAGTTGTAGAAGGGGTAGCGGTGGTCGAGGGTACAACATAAGTAACTGTTGTACTCACAGATGTTGTTCTGGCAGCTGTTGTTGAGGCTTCTGATATTTGTGATAAAAAACACAACTTTCAGCGTTGTCCTTGCAACTCATGCATGTATACCTACCTTTATGGTTTCAGGTAAGTGCTCAACATGTTTCCTCCGTCCCATACAAAACATCAGTTTTTCTGTTATTTACATAATCATCACAACTGTAAACATTCTTGCGGGTATTCTCTATCCAGATTCAGAAAACAGGAGAATGATAAAAAAACACCCCAAAATTCATAAATGTCATCAAGGGCAAAGCCTTGCTGTTACGTATGGATTAGAAGGACACTTATAATCACGGGTTGAGTTCGGATATTTCCACATCAAGTAACAGGCAGATAGGAGGAAATAGGACGTGCCACTTGGTCCACATCACTTTCCCAAAGGAGGCAAGCTTCTTGGCTTTTGCACACAACAGAGACGGACGATTCTTGGTATTGTTCAATTCCTAGTTACCTTGCACTGCGACAGACCATCAACGTTAACAAACCCTCAAAGCTTAAGCATTCCGCAAAATGTTACCCCCCCCAAAAAAAAAACAGTTTAGTTGAATATCCTCCCTTGTCCTGAGTTACCACCTTCCGCTGAATGTTGTTTTGATTACATGACTGATTAATGTATGATTGATGTAGACACCTTTGGTGTCAGGATTGTACATGTGCCCTGCATTTTCAACCCTTATTAGTTCAGTAAAATGAACTGTAGTTACAGCCTCTCCCCAAAGTGACAAAAATAAATAAAGTTACTATTATGTCTGAAGGAAATAAATGTCACATTCTGAAAAACTTATGCTGCAGCCCAGGGAACTTAATTTACGACAATGCTTATTTTAACTTAAGGTTTGTTATTATTGTTTTCAATCACAGTCACATTAATTCAACTTCTAGTCATTTGCACTTATTAGAAGTGACTGACACGATACAGTGGAAATGTGATTCCTAAATCTTAGAGTATGGTGAAATTGCAAAACATCCTTTTGACAGAGAAAGTAACTATATCAATTTTTTCAACTTTTTAAATGTTTTATTCTATGCCATTTTTCCCTCTACAAACTCCACTACTCGTCTTTAATTATGGGAGCATTTTACCTGAATAGAGCATCACACTGATACTCTTTCCACACAAAAACTGAAATTTATCATTTCAGTTTCGCGTGTCACTAAAAACACGTGTCACTTAATAGCGGTACCTGTTGTAGATTGCACAGTGGTTGTTTCCTTTGTGGTGGATTCAGGAGTTGTGGAAACAACTGTGGTTATTTCCTTAGTAGTTGACGGCTGTGCAGTTGTTGATGGCTGTGCAGTAGTTAAAGGTGCCTTAGTTGTTGAAACCCGAGTGGTTGACTTCTCCGTGGTACTCGGAGCAGCTAGAGAGCAAAATGACTATATTTTTCATTGGAAACTCATATTAAGATAACTTCGTTCAAAAAACCCAAGTAACTTTGACAGTCCTCATATCAAGTAAGAATTCTATCAGAATTTCAACACATTCGATTTCGAATTTAAACCAGTATTGTACCAGACGTAATCAGTGACCACATTTTTGATCATTTTTTGGCCAATGAAAAACATTGCGTCGAAATCCTTTCTTCAAATTTATGAATCACTTTGGTTGACTCTCCCAAACTGACGTGAGCAAGTGTGTTTTTCCCTCACCTGTGGTACTCCCAACCGTTGTGCTCCGCACATGTGGTTGACTCCTCTGTGGTTGTTGATTCCGGTGTGGTTGTGTACACAACTGTGCTTGTCACCTCCTCAGTGGTTGACGGTGCAGCAGTACTGGACGGCACCGTTGAAGTCACAACAGTTGTCGATACGGTGGTGGTAGCTGCCGTCGTCGATGCCTCTGTATTATAAAAGAAAATGTTGTTCATTCCGTCAATGCAGTCTTGCATTGTCTTACTCATTACAGTTTCTCGAATTATTTGAATATACAAATAACTGAATCAGTCAAATGTACCGATTAAATTGAAGGGGTCTGTAAAAAATGCTACATAGAGACAGTGTATCATTTTGTCAATCTTTTTTCATTGTGTATTCTATAAAAATTGAATAAGATACTGTCCTCAATAATTTTACATTCGACATAAAGCAGAACTGTATTTCATTTGTGGCTAAGACAGTTATTGTATCCAGATTTAACGAGAAAATTGGATTTGAATTCCGACCATTTCATTTCTTCAAACGTGAGTTAGTAACATGAGGCTACCTGTTGTAGTTTGCACAGTTGTTGTCTCCTTTGTCGTGGATTCAGGAGTTGTGGAAACAACTGTGGTTATTTCCTCAGTAGTTGACGGCTGTGCAGTGGTTGATGGCTGTGCAGTAGTTGACGGTGCCTTGGTTGTTGAAACCCGAGTGGTTGTCTTCTCCGTGGTACTCGGAGCAGCTATGGACCAAAATGACTATATTTTTAAAATCCAGACACATACTAAGATAAATTCGATCAAAAAACTGAAGTAACTTTGACAGTCCTAAAATCAGATAAAAACTGTTTCAAAATTTCAACACTTTTAGTTTCAAATTTCAGCCTGTATTGATGCCAGCCGTGCTGTAAAACTGCAAATTAGTCTTTCTACAGACTGAGACAGTGGCCAGATACTTGACCGTTCTGTTGCCTGTGACAAAGGTTTTATCGAAAACATTGATCAAATTTATGAATCACTTTAGTTCACTTTTCCGAAATGGACGTAAACAGTTGTGCTTTTCCCTCACCTGTGGTACTCTCAACCGTTGTGCTCCGCACTGTGGTTGACTCCTCTGTGGTTGTTGATTCTGGTGTGGTTGTGTACACAACTGTGCTTGTCACCTCCTCAGTGGTTGACGGTGCAGCAGTACTGGACGGCACCGTTGAAGTCACAACAGTTGTCGATACGGTGGTGGTAGCTGCCGTCGTCGATGCCACTGTATTATAAAAGAAAATGTTCTTCATTCAGTCAATGCAGTCTTGCATGGTCTTACTCATCACAGTTTCTCGAATTATTTGAAAACAATGAACTGACTCAGTCAAGTGCATCGTTTAAATTGAAGAGATTTCATGATAAAGAAAAAATAGTTACAGACAGACGAAGTGTACAGTATTATGAATGTTTTCTTCATTGTGTATTATATGTGCAAGAATTATTCATGAACACTTTCTTGTTTTTGACTTGGTCCCGTTACACACACCAATTATAACCTAAAGGAGGGGTGAATCCAGAAATTTCTCCGGAGGGGGAACAGATCATAGATATTTTTTTCCTGCTTTCTAATTTTTTAGGACAACTGGGGACGACGATGAAACATTACATGACATAGATTCTTTAAAATAATATTGGTGCACTTCCTTTACTAATTCTTTGTGTGATTTTCCATATTTTCCCCTTTTCTTGTCTCAGAGCAGAGGTGGTGATCGACCCCCCCCCCGAACTGCGGCTGTGAAGCATAGTGCAATGAAAAACCACCCCACGGGTAGATGGTAAAGGCACATCTTACCTGTTGTGGAATAAAGGGTTGTTGTCTCTTTTGTTGTTGACTCGGGAGTGGTAGAAATTACCGTCGTTACCTCCTTGGTGGTTGACGGCTGGACAGTTGTGGAGGGCTGTTCAGTTGTAGAAGGAGCCTCTGTAGTTGATACACGAGTAGTCGTTTTCTCTGTAGTACTTGGGGGAGCTAGGGAACAAATTAGTCAAATTTCAGTGGACACTTTGTTAGAGGACACTGATAAGCAAGACACTCTTCAAACTCAAATGCAGACGGTGAAGTGGCATCGTCTAACGTGGAAGCTTCCACTACGCTCATCAAAAGGTGAACATTAATTCCAATTTTCAGAGGTCTCTGTCAGCCCCTATTGTTAGTAGCTGATTTTAGAACTGGTAGGTACAACTGTTTTGCCTGGAATTACTCAACTAAGGAAAAGAGTAAATTTCAGATACCCGTTGGGGTTTCCTGTGATGTTGTTGCCACAGTTGTTGTCTCTTTTGTAGTAGTTGCCGTCGGAGTTACGGTTGATGTTACTGTTGTTGAGACTTTTTCAGTCGTTGACGGAGCGGCTGTAGTTGACGGGGTGGTTGTTTTCAAAGTCGTTGATATCTTTGTTGTCAATTCTGTTACAGGTTGGATACAATACAAAGCGGTGCTAACAAGGTATGTATTTAAATTGTGTTATATAATTAGTATATTACTTTTTGAGTTAAACCTTTTTCAAATTGATCAAAAGATTTTTCATATTACTGACTGATTTTAAAAAGTTCTCTCCTGCCAAAAAAACATAGTCTCCTTTTACTAAACATATTGTCTCCAGAGCTCCAGCACAAATGTCCTTGACCAAAGACGAATACATCATTTCAGCTCTAATCAAGTTCGTCTTCCTTTACTACCTTACTGCAGATTGAGCGTTTGTTGGAGTGTTAACGAGTGATTTTAATGTAAGACTTCTCAGTGCCAGAACAGTGTGCTTCTGTTGTTTTAGGGACTCTGCTTAATATGTGAGATTGCAAATATTTCTCACACGCCTATCCTCGCAGTAGAGTAAATTTCTTATAATCCCTGTTCGAGACCTTAAATGAGCACCTCAATTACCACACCGTCCAGGCTCCCGAAACGTTCCCTAACGACTACACGGTGGGAAATATCCCATTTCAATTGTAACTAAACAAGCATACCTGTAGTGGACGGTGCCTTTGTTGTAGATGGTGCCTCGGTGGTAGTGGCTGCTTGGGAAAAGGGCATGAATGTATCAAAAACGCACACCATAACGACTGACAAAATGTTTCATGGAGCTGGGAAAGGCCCTTTGAAAGAAAGGGAATACATGTGTCAAAAAGTGTACAAACAGTCATTTATGTCTGGAGAAAAGTTGCCAATCTCACAACAATTGACAGAATGTATCAGACAAATATGAAGGTCCCTTTGAAAGAAAACAGGTTTTTATTCCTTTCATAGCGTATTCTAAGAGTTAAGAACAAGGCAAAGACCGAGAGCAATTCATACCTTTTTCTATTTCATACAAATGTACGGGTCGAAGCTTATTACTAATAAAGTACCTTCGTGTTCACAGCCGTTGAAGATCACTTTGTAGCCATCTGGATTTGACGTGATGATGGACACTTTTATTCCCGTTACAAGTGGCATACTGGACGGCATAGGGATCTTGCTGTCCGTTTGGCCAGTAAAGATTGTGGAACCGTCGTCGCCAACTAACGGCACGTATGGCAACCGGTCACCCGGCTGAACCTTGAAGGCGACAGTTATATCCCCAGGTGGGCCCTGCTCAATTCTGATGATAACGGATGTGATTTCAACCCGTGGGCTGAAAGTAACTTCCAAGTACGATCCACTGTAAGGCGAATTCACGTCATCAGGTGGATTGGTCGGGCGCCACCAGTCACCCGGTGTTAACATGCTGTCTGAGTCAGACTCTTGGCGTGTTACCGTTACTGGCTGGTAAGTGTCAAGATCTTCTGCGCATTCCTCAGGGGTCGTGGACGGCGGAAAAGCAGTTGTCACTGAGATGATACAAATTGGGGAAAAGGAACATTTCAGAATACAAATATACCAATTAATTTAGAAATTCTGCCAACAAATATGTAAAGGGTACCAAAAAACAGCTAATACATACAGAAAAGAATCACTTAAATCTCGAAGGAATAAAACATCGTTGAAGAATATGGCGTTTGAAGGAAGGGGTAAAGCTCCTCGAAGATTGACAAAGCATTAAGCAACAGGAAATTGACAAACACTTAATAGCGGAAGGACTCAATGCCAAGGTATTTTCACGTGCGTTGTTTATTTGTATCCCCTTCCTCCTTTAAGTTTCACTAAGTTCACTTTTTCTTTGCTGTTTTTACTCATTCTAATGGTATGATTAACTTGTTTTTTTCCTTGCAAATCCTGACTATTTTTTCGGATGCACTATGTCTCAATTCCACTGATATAAAAGTTCAGCTGTGTATGATGAATTCTCAGAGGTTTCTTAGTTTTCGAATATCACAATCAACTTTTACCAGTTAATTAATATGAAGCCAGGCTCATCTGATACAAGTGGATAGGATTTGAGGGTAAACTGCGTGTAAAATAATCCTTACCTTCTGTTGTCTGGATTGCTGTCGTAGTCTCCTTTGTAGTTGCCTCGGGAGTTGTGGTAAGAACAGTAGTTGTGACTTCTTCGGTTGTTGAAGGCTCCGCCGTGGTTGACGGTGCTTTAGTTGACAATCGAGTTGTTGTCACCTCTGTAGTTGAAGGGGCTTCTGAGGAAATTGTCATAAGTTTTTAAGCAAGATACAATATACAACGATATCCTGATCGGTCAGGGTCATCTCACAAAGCCTTTAGTGTCAGAAATGTTATTAATTTTCCATACATGTAAGTTCTAAGCTGAGTATGTAAGCTGCATTTCCGGCTGTCTTTTCAGCTTGTATAATGCGGATCATGGATGTATCGTTGCAGCAACTGGAAACTGTAAAGCTAATGCGATTTATAGAAACTCTCTGTCTTCCATTAGGAAATAGCAAGATTAAACACAGGAGATAATTTTCTTTTCTTTACTTGTTGTGCTTTCTTCTGTGGTACTCCGAACAGTAGTTGTCTCCTTCGCTGTAGTTGCCTCAGGAGTGGTAGTGTAAACTACTGTGGTGGTAACTTCCTTTGTAGTTGTTGGCGCAGCAGTAGTGGAAGGCACAGTTGAAGTCACAGTCGTCGATACCACAGTAGTGGTAGAGGCTTCTGAAACGATAATGGTATTCCGCAGTATAAAATGAGAAAAATGCAAACCGCTTAGAAACAAAATGCAATATTATGCCTCAGGCTTTAAAATACCTGTCGTTGACGTCACAGTTGTAATCTCCTTTGTTGTCGATTCAGGAGATGTGATCACCAGTGTCGTCACTTCCTTTGTTGTTGAAGGCTGGGCAGTTGTTGATGGTTGAACAGTAGTTGATGGCTGAGTGGTAGTTGATGGTTGGGCAGTTGTTGACGGAGCCTCTGTAGTCGTCACACGAGTGGTGGTCCTCTCTGTTGTACTAGGTGCGGCTATCAAAGCAAAAAGAAACACCCCTGTAAACTCACATCTGCAAGAAACACTGTGTTTCATAAAAATAAATACTGCAAGGTTCTCAATTTTCTGCAACAAAATTGGACGTTTGACTTAAATTAACAGCTCTTATTTAAAGATGGGGCATGCTACACCGAGTAATTCACCTGTTGTACTTCCTTCTGTAGTGATCCGAATGGTTGTTTTCTCCTCAGTTGTAGTTGTTTCTGGAGTGGTAGTGTAAACAATAGTTGTTACCTCTTCAGTAGTGGACGGCGGAGCAGTGGTCGAGGGCACAGTTGAAGTGACGGTCGTCAATACAACAGTTGTTGAAGCCTCTGTTGTTGAAGCCTCTGCGTATGGTATACAAAAACCATGAGATGATCAATCCCATCCCGGACCTAGCTCAGCTGATGACAATGTACTACTTGCTTGGTTTGAATTTCGAAAAATCAATTTCAAATCTAGACATTCGTAAAATTGAAGATTTTCTATAACAGGTATATCCAATAATATTGCTTTTTTCTATAGGCGTATTTTCAAAGACTTAAATAGCTGTACTCTAATGAAATTCATACAGGCCGGAGTTTTCTTAATTTTTTGAAATAACAATTAACCGACTCAGTCAAATACATAGTTTAAATTTAAGGGATCTTTAAAAAAGAAAACCCAACCTATACAAACAGACGAAGTGTACGATTTTTTGAAGGATTTTTTACTGTGTATTCTATGCAAAATTTCGTCAACATTTTTCACGAAGATACGCTTTGGTCCAAAATCATGAGCTTTTCAAATGTCTGTTTTTAGCAAAATTAAATTGCAGTAACATTACTTTAGACTAAGAGATGCTAAACACTGGGGAAATAAGCGTTTGAAAGAGAGACCAAGTTCAAATGCGATTTTTTTTCGAAAAGCCTTATTCTAGTGATTTCAAAAAACTTGTCCCTTCGTGAACAGACCGACGATTTACTTCAATATTATCATTTATTTTGTATTTGGGATGAAGCAGAATTGTTCATTGATTGCCGCCAAGACTCGTATTCTATCAACTTGTACCCAGAAAATCGTATTTGGATTCGCAGCATTTCATGTCTTCAAAGTTAGTTAATAAATAACGCTACCTGTTGTAGTTTGCACAGTTGTTGTCTCTTCTGTAGTGGATTCAGGAGTTGTATAAACAACTGTGGTTATTTCCTCAGTAGTTGATGGCTGTGCAGTAGTTGATGGCTGTGCAGTAGTTGATGGTGCCTTAGTTGTGGAAACCCGAGTGGTTGTTTTCTCCGTGGTACTTGGAGCAGCTATGGAGCAAAATGACTATATTTTTAAAATCGAGACACCTATCAAGATAACTTCGATCAAAAAACTGAAGTAACTTTGACAGTGCTACAATCAGATAAAAACTGTATCAAAAATTCAGCACGTTTAGTTTCAAATTTCAGCCTGTATTAATGAAAGCTGTGCTGACAAACACTGCGTCGAAATCCTTTCTTCAAATTTATGAATCACTTTGGTTGACTCTCCCGAATTGACGTGAA